TGTAAAAAAGCTAATTTCAAGGGTTAATAATAACATAATTTACATGAAAATTATAGTTATTTTTTTCAAAATTACTACTAATTATTACAACTAAGCAATGACATCATGCACTGTACAGAAACACATAGAGTGGATTAAGGTTTAAACGAACATCAGTGATAAGGTAGGTGTACAGTTACCTTGACTGATACAAGAAGAAGAAAGATCAACAATTTGATGGGTTGTTCACTTTCTGGTTTGGTATCTTAGCAATGGTTTCTTGCCTTGTTTTTGGTTTGTTGGGTAGAGAAACAAATGAAAGTGAGTGGCAATCATCTTTTAAAATAAAACTCTATCATTGTTGATTTTTTATCATGCATATTTGTATTATGCCTATTGAGTACCTTGGCCATCGCCACATATATACTGACTCTGTGATACATGATGAACAACAAAGTTCCTAAGATAGACCTCTGAGAATACTCAATTAAGTGCCCATTTACAATCATTTTGGTTACTTCCACCAAATTAATTTTATCTGTACTTCTTAACTAGTCTACTACACTATAAGCATCTAGCTTACTAATTAATCTTGTGTGAGGTCTGAAAGGATCTGAAATAAAGATAAACAACATCAAGTGGTAAAGGTGGAGACACATAAAAATACTCCAACAAATTGGTAGGTCAAGAAAAAATGTTTTTTAAAACCATGTTAAGAATCATTATTTAATATGGCAATTTTCCAAATGTTTTTTTAAATGGCTTTTAATAGCAGATTCTTAGATTTTGTCAACAAGAGAAATCAAGGTAATGGGTCTACAGATTCTCCCTTGACCCTCGACCCACCTTTTGTGCTGATTGTTTTTGCAGGCTTCACTAGTTTCAGTCATCAGGAATTTTCCCAGTGTTCAAAGAGACTAATGAAAAATAACAGTTAAAACCATTACTATGTTGTTAAGCTTTTTCAAGATTTTAGGTAAAATTGGCATGATACAAAGCTATTTGTGTGGATGACCAGTTATATTAAAGTTATCTTAAGATTTTGCACCAAAAAACTTGAATTTATTTTGGACTTTTTTTCTTGTCTCTCATTATACCTACATCATTCTATTTTACCATATTTAAGAACAAAATGCAGAAGAAAGAAAGAAAAATCATATTCTGAAAATATTCTGTTATTCAATTGTTTTTAGTTACTTCTTCATACATGCGAAGTGTTGCAATTAGTTTGACATTTGCTTTGAAAAGGTGCTTATTTTTAATGTTTTGTAATACATTGGATAGATGTCGCCACGACTGTTTCGCACACGCGCTAATTACGTTTATTATTGTTATATTTTCGTAAAATATACTGTATTATTTCACAGTTAGATATAAATTATATTTGGTATGTTACTATTGTGGTTTCTGGAAATAAATTATTACTATTGATTTTAGTACAGTTAGAAATGAATGTTTATTGTAAGGTTTATTCATAGAAGTATATGTAAAGTAAATTTTATGACCACTGCATGTTGGAATGTGTTGCAAACTTAATTGTTAGAGCATTTGATATATGCTTAACATAATAATTAACTGCTTTATAGTTTGTACATTTAAGAAAATTCACCAATTCACTGTGGGGACACACTATAGTTCTAGAGTGAAAACCTGTCTCTTTTTTTTCTTCTTCATAGAATAACGTTTGGTAAAAATCAGTTAGATTAACAACTTCTAATTTATGGAAAAGCCGGTGCGTTTTGCTAACACTGCTTTCCAACATTGACGTTTATGTCATGTTGCTTAACTGTCTTTGTCTCCACTATTGCTTCGACTCCGTCTATCTCTCTCACTGTTTAGCGCACTTATATACGATAATACTACCTGTTCTAGAAACTTCTAAGACTCTCAACATGTGCTACCAGCGTCAGTTGACGCAACGCTGTCGCAACACACTAGAGAATCTTCTAGAATACTCGTCACGTGACCCCGCTGTCGTAACG